TTTTTTTTTTTTTACCCCACTTCATAGTCTCACCTCAAGAAATTAGAAAGCAAGATTATATAATAATGAAGCTATTTTATTGAACTAAGTTGCAATTAAAAGTTGAAACGAATCCCGAATTTAGAATTAGTTAGTTCGAGTACGATCTTATTATACGTATATTTTTTTTTGTAAAAGAAGAATTAATTCAAATAAACGCCCACCTAATCTCTTAAACCAAAAATAACCAACAAATGTATAATATATATATATATATATAATACCCATCTAGTGCAGTGGCTTAGAAGCAAGCTACCTTAACTATCTTCCGAAGTTCTAAATAATTTACTGATCAAAGGCGGTAAGGGCGGAATGCTCTACAGTCAGCTGGAATTCAAACTTAGGGCTGAACGACGCCTTCACCAAAGAACTTAAAAATAAATATTGAATCTGACTGGCTATTTTCGTAAATAATCCTTTTTTAATTCATGCATATAATTTGAGTTGAAAGTAATAGATTCAATTAAATCCATAAAATTCCTTCCAAATCCATCTCAGATTAGAGATTCAAGACGTCCAAATTCTACAAGATCGCTAGTGGTGGTATATTTGAGGAATTATATCGTCTCCTAGAGATGAGGCTTAGCTGTACGCCTGCTACTCTATCAAACATATGGTGGGTAGTGGAACAGGGTCGGAGCCAAAGTGTGGGATGCGAGTTTAATCGAATTCAGTAGCTTTATTGAAAAAATATTTTTGTCTTAAAAAATTCATTAAATATATATAAATTATTAATTTAGAACCCAATAACTTTAAAAAATTTCAAATCCTAACCTCTGATCAGTAGAGCTGCAACATTCTTTTGATTACCTTAGCTAAGATAGAAGACCCAAGTATAGTGAAGTGAGCCCAATTTTCTTCACTGTTTGAAGTGGTCAACAGCCTTTGTATTAAACAAACTCATCTAAAATCTAGGTCCACTGTATTTGACACACGTTTTCGCCTTATCTCAATGCATATGTACAATTTAGGTCCGCCGCTGTTTTTGACACACATTTTGGTTTTCTTTCCGCATGTACAATCTGTCAATGAAAGGAATTAATGGGAATAACCTTATTGCAAGATCAAACAAAGAAATTTAAACCTAAGCCTAAATCCATAATCAATTTTTTATCCTTCTCGGGACAATCAATATCGATTCAGATGAGCACTTTATATAAGCATGGGGAAAGTCCACAGTTGAAAGTGCGTATAGTGTGGATTGAGGAGTCATTATCCAATTCCTGTAAGGTGGGTTTCTGATGTGGTTCAAAACAGAGGATTGTCTTTTGGCTAACATGTCGTTGGAGGGTCATCTAGATTGGATTAATGCTGTATTTTGTGGGCCTAAAGGGCCGGGCCTCGCGGTCTCGGGCTTCGTGGGCCTAATGGGTGGAACCGGCCCGTGACGGGCCTAAGCCCACATGGTCCTGTGCTTAACGGGCCGGGCTCGTGGCTTCGCAGGCCTAGCGGGTTTTTTTTTAGACAATTTCTTGTAGTATTATGGCTATATTAAAAATATATATGTAGTATATATGTATATCTAATTATTAAAGTGCTTGACGAAAAAGAAAATAACAAAACAATAGTTAAACACTAAATTGCCATGCATAAATATCACTTCTTGAAGTATATTATATTGTATTTTATGTATATATATTCTCTTATATATTTTCTTTTAGTATATGTATTGTATCTTATGTATATAT